CAGCCACCTCAGACGCCTCAGACGCCTCAGACGCCGCTGGTCTTTGATGAGGAGCACTTTGGCAGCCAACAGCGGTACTATAAACAGCAGCTGCTACTGCAACAACACCAGCAAAAGAAAAGACACTCCCCGACCGGCTTCCACAGCTACGCGCCAACACCCACCACGATCAAGTCCTCCTCCTCCGCCTCGAATCTCGCCAACCTGATCCCGGTACCAGCGATGCCGGCCATGGTCGGTGGGCCACTATCATACTCATCAGGCGGAGGATCGCCAGGAATTGGCAGTGGAAATGGCAGTGGCGGCGGAAACCTTTCTCCAGTTCACCACCACCACCACCACCACCCGGAAAACGCCACCGCCGTCGTCCAGCCCTCGCCCAGCCACTCGACGGGCGCCAACTCGGTCGCTTCCTCCTCGGCCGCCTGGAGCGACGCCTTCAGCGCCTCCTACTCGGACACGGACAACAGCCGCGATGTGATCATCCGCGTGCGCACTGAGGAGCGCGAGGCGGAGTACACCCGCTACGAGCGGTACCGCATCTTCGTGGGCACCTGGAACGTCAACGGCCAGCAGACCAATGAGGAGGCGGCGATGAGGGAGGCCTTCCTCGGCGTGGACCGCCAACAGCCGCCCGACTTCTACGCCATCGGCTTCCAGGAGCTGGACCTCAGCCGCGAGGCGTACCTCTTCGACAACTACCAGCGGGAGCAGTACTGGCTGAAGCTAGTCACGAGGAGTCTCCACCCGAAGGCCTCCTATGAGATGGTCAAGTCCGATCGGTTGATTGGTAAGTGAGCGGCTGTTGATAAACGAGAAGTGTTGAGAAGTGTTTGACTAGGCTTTTGTCTAACTGCCTTTTTTATCCCTTGTCCTGCAGGCATGATGCTGGTCATCTTTGCCCGCAAGGAGCTGGTGCCCTTCATCAACAACATCGAGGCGTCTCACGTGGGCACGGGCATTCTCGGCAAAATGGTAAAGTGGTGTTCTGTGTGCTGAAGTGCTACCGTATTGTTACCAAATTCTGTTCTTCATTTCAGGGCAACAAGGGCGGCGTGGCGATTCGCTTTGATCTGCACGAAACTAGCCTCTGCTTTGTCAACTGCCACCTGGCCGCCCATGTGGAGCAGTTTGAGCGGCGTAACCAGGACTTTAAGGAGATTCGCAATCGGCTGCTCTTTCCGCAGCCCTTCAAAGCGCCGCGGCGCATTGAGGATCACAAGTAAATTTAAAACAAAAATCAACTTTTCAAACAAACATTCTTTATATCTTCACCTCTTTTCTCCACAGTCAAATCTACTGGTTCGGCGACCTGAACTACCGCGTGATGTACCTGAGCACCGAGCAGATCAAGGGAATGCTGGATCGCGGCCAGTACGAGGTGATCCTCGAGAACGATCAGCTGAAGAAGCAGAAGGACCTGCGGAACGTCTTTGAGGGCTACCTCGAGGGGGCGATTCACTTTCCGCCCTCGTACAAGTACAACCCCGGCACCGACGAGTGGGACTCGAGTGAGAAGCGCCGCCCGCCGGCCTGGTGCGACCGCGTCCTCTGGCGGGCCTCGCCGGACATTGTCCAGCTGGCCTACCGGTCGCATCCGCAGCTGAAGGCCTCCGACCACAAGCCGGTCTCCTCGCTCTTCCTCAGCTCATTCCGCATCACCGACCAGGCGGCGAAGCGGAAGGTCTACGAAGATGTGATGAAGCGGCTGGACAAGGAGGAGAATGACTACCTGCCGGCGGTGGAGATCGNCCCGCGGTGGAGATCGAGACGACGGAGATCGGCTTCGGGGTGGTCCGCTTCAAGGACGCCGCCAGTCGGTCGCTGAAGGTGAAGAACGTCGGCCAGAGTAAGATTAAGTACCGGTAAGTGTTTGGGAGATCTGTCGGTGGGGTTTATTCTTTAACTGACCACTTTTTCCTCTTTTCTTTTGTATTAGCTTCATCACCAAACCCAACGAAACGAGCTACTGCAAGGACTGGCTACGCATCACGCCCTCCTCGGCCAGCATAGCTCGCAATGAGACGGTGGAGATCCGCTTTGAGCTCTCCTTTGAGGTGCCCGCCACCTACACCCGCCTCAACTACGGCCTGGAGAGGCTCTCCGACACGCTGGTCCTCCGGCTGCTGGGCGGCAAGGACATCTTCATCACCGTCACCGGCGACTACCGACCTTCGGCCTTCGGTTGCCTCCTCGAGACGCTCATCAGCCTGCACGACCGCCCAATGGCCGACGTGGACAGTCCCAAGGAGTTGGCCAAGCTAGGTGGTGGTGGAGAGCCGTGGGACGAGGCGGTGAGGAGGGCGTTGGATCCGCTCAGGTCGGCGAAGCAGCAACAGCAGGGAAACAAGTCGGCAGACTTTGGTATTGAGCCCAGTAGTTCTGCTTCTGTTGCTGTCACTGCCACCACCGTTCCAGTGGATCTGCTCATTGACCTTTCCTTTGATGATCCGCCCATCAAGAAGACGCCCTCGCAGCAGTTGCTGGAGTTGGTAAGTTACCCTTAAAAATGTTATCGGTCAACAATTCTAATCTTCCCCCCCCCCT